ACATCTTGCCAGCTCTGCAAACTGGCCACGAGTCACGGGCATCGGGGCCGACGCATCATGGTGACCCTTTGGTTTGTCAATCGAAGTGGAGTACCCAAAAGGGTGTTTTTTTGTTGCCGGACGGTACCCTGTTTGGTTTTAAAGGGGTCCGGCTATTGGAAACACACACCCAAGAAAGGAAAAAGCCCGTAAGCGTCGCACTTGCGTTCGTCCCTCTTCCCTGAGCACTTTTATACTGCGAACGTCAGATACCGAAACCTACGCTTGGCCCAGACCCGCGGTAGACCACACGCAAGATGCTGAAATTATGCTTCTGTTTCAACCTTGCAATGCGACGTATCAGAGACAGAGCAATGGCCGGCACACCCCCTTTGGATTGACCAGGTTCCTGAAAACAAGGCGCTTCAATGTGGCGGGCATGTAGGACGAAATCACATGAGATCTTCCAGGGCCGAGATGGAACCTGTTCTATCTCAAAGGAGCGCCTTGCTCTGCGGTCGCCTCTGTTTCGCCTTCAGCCGCCTTGAAAGACAGGGCCAATGCCCGCAACCCCGCCACATTGTCTAATACAAGGTCCTGGGATTGTGAGGCACTTTAAGCCATCAGATAATATTTTGTGTAATTCTCAGCCCCCATTACCCAGACCCCAGTGGAGACACACGAAAACGGTGGAGACAATGCGTTCCATCCGAGCTGCCACCGCCAAGCCGCCGGCAATGAACTCCTGCGCGCAAACCGGTAGTTGCGACTGGCAGTTTTCCCCAAGTCGTGCACGACACGAAAGAAGAGTTCAAGTTCCAGCGCCCCCTAACAACTGCTGTTCCAATCCCAAGCACCGTCCAAAAAACAGTTGCTGGGTGGTGCTGGTTGGCACAACCCACAATCAATAGAAAATCTTCCAGATGCTTGAATTTGCAATGTTCGGAACGGATTCAGGATTGCGAACTGCCCAGTTAGACAATTAGAATGGTGGTGCAAGGAAGCTGGATTTTAGCTGCGATCTTCGTTTTAGCTTCAACTCAGACGCGAGAATCCCATCCATTCAATGGACGGCCCGCCTCACCCTGCCTCGCGCTCCAGCCGGACCACGGATTGTCCGAGACAGCCAACGCAAACAAACTGACGGACAGCCCGAATTGAGAAGGAAGCGCTCTGCCGAGCTGGTCCAGTATCGCAAATCTAAGCTCCCAAAAAACCCGATCGCAAGCCTACCCAAAGACTCTCTAGTGGACAGAAACTTCCAACTCAAGGCCTGAACCCCAGAGATATCGCAATAACTTTGGCGAGTGACAGGGAAAGGCGGTCTTCGCAAACCTGAGGCGTGTGCCCACAACCTCCGAACCAAACTTGCCCCTTGCAAGCTCCACTTCTCTTGAAACCACCACGTGGCATCCCCCTCCAATTCCAGCAAGCGCTTGCTCAGCACAGGCAGCAGCATGGAACTGTGTGTGCGGACGCATGGAAACACTACAACGCAAGGCAGAAAATCAGGCGTGCGAGCGCTTGGCCTTGCGTTTCAAGCCGGAGGGAATATGGATCGTTGCTTTGACGGAAGATGCGCGCCGCTGAGCCAACGAGGGCAGTGACTGCTGGGGGCGTCGGGGAATGTCTTGGTCCTCTAAGAGCCAGGCTGAACAAGCAAATTGGACCAAGGAGCCCATTTAGCTACGTGTTCAAAACCCTTGGCAAGCGTGGCGTACGCGGGCGGATTTTTACTGCGTTCACGAGATAGATGTGGCGCATCCGAAGGTCAGTTTTTTGGCAGACTTCTTGCGCAACCGTATCACCAAGCCTACAACATCTGCCTTGTCCACCAAAGCATTGCGCTAGGTGTCGCTTCATGCGGGCGTGCAAGCGTTCAACGAGCGGCTGTTTGAGCCAGTCACAGAGGTGTGCCAGCATTTCCAAGCCAAGCCCGCCTGCAATTCATTGGTTTCTACTCATTGTCCCGAGGCAAACATGTGGTTGTTGCTTGTGAGGAACCAACTGCAAAATGGGTAGAACGATATCTGTTTGGGAAAAAGGCCAATGCTGCAAATTAAGGGGTCTTCCTGTCTAGCCAGGTGGGGTTCAATAGAAAGTCCGTAAACAAAAATGGACATAGGATGTCACTGCACAGTTCCCTTGTGTGGGAGGGGGGCACATACGCCACCACCCAAGACTGGTTCAAATTTGCAAAACAGGTGCCGCTAGCAGCTCAAGGAGAGGGATCTTGGCAAAGTACGAGAACGCCCAGACCGTACCCTGCGTTTTGAGCCTTTTTTGACATTTTACATGTTCAGCCAATTTTGACATTTCACAGGTTCGTTTGTTCGCAGGGTTCCGACGGGCGTTGTCACCAATTTCATCGCTCATCGCAACGCCTTGCACGCCTGTACCCACGCCCTGCCAAATGATAGGCACACCCGCTCAAGGGACCCCGCTCAGCACTGCATCCATGCCATGCCAAATGATAAGCACACCCGCTCAAGTGACCCCGCTCAGCACTGTATCAGCAGCTGGCAATGCACGTTGGCCTGAGCTATATGACGGCCTGATCTATAAAAGCTTTGCGAAAGCACTAAGTTTTTGGTTTTCCTGCTTCTTTCAAAAAACGTGATTTCGCCTAGGTGAAACGCATGTCAGGTCCAACACGACAACGCCGTCGTGGAGGATTTGAGGCATCCGGAACATGTTTTTTGGCAAGCGGCGTGCGCTTCGCCTAGGCGAAATCACGTTTTGAGGTCGGGGTGAGTTGCTGAAAACAGGGTGCGTTACGGGCGTCGTCACCTGGTTTTTAAAGGGTGGTTCCACGTGCAGGTTGGTGAAATCACTGTGAAATCAGGAACGCACAAGGTTCCCTTGACTTCAGACAATAGCGAAAGTTGTCTGTGTACAAATAAGTGGGCATGTATCCAACATGTATCCAAATCCGCCGACCTTCGGCGTGTCGGACACCGAGAGGATAGAGGTTAACCCTTTGGTCTTCGGGGAGCCAAAGCACGGATCGTAGGCTCAAGGAAAGAGGGAGATGTAGGGAAATAAAGGAAATGAGGTGTAAATTAAAATGAATGTGCGGGAAGTTCATGGGAAATGAAGGGGAGGCGAAGGGAAAGTGAAAGGGACATGAAAGGGAAATGAAGGGGAAATGAAGGAGGGAAAGTGAAAGGGAAATGCAATGTCGGCAGCCTGAGCCGGAGGCTCTAAAGTTTTGGGCAACCCAACAAAACACATCCTGACAAAGAAACACACTACCATGTTGGGCTTTCCTGCTTCCTGAGTGGATGGGCACTGCTTGTGTATGACCAAAATTGACCAAACTCCAAAGTGACCCAAGTCCAGGAGCGTGACCCCTTCATTCGAAAAACAACACGCAAAAAGCGGTAATGTCTAAACAGGATTGAAAATGATCAAATACACCACGCTGAAGCCTGCTCCCTCAAATCCAACATGCTAAGCAAAACAGACTCCAGCACTCAAGTCCACCAAGACTCTCAAGTTCGCTGATACAAACTCAAGTGGAGACTCAAACCCCCAAAAACAATTAAGCGTACCCCAGACACTTCCTTTTCTTGCTGATGCTCAGATATGAGAAATGCAATGACCCCTATAAACCATCCAACTGGTGTTTCCTGAAAAAACCAAAGCTTGGGTTCGTTCAACTCGGTCATTTCCTACCCGTCGCACCAGCAACTCAACTGGAGACTCAAGCAGCAAGCCCCAAACAAACAAAAAAACATTGAGCTGTACCTCCAGACACCTCCTTTCTTGGACTCGGGGGGCGGTTCGTCCCTACCCGCTTCTGACAAGCCCGCGCCTTGCCCCACTCCGCGAAGTTGGCCTCGAAATGCTCCGCGCCCGGCAAGGCCGGGGCGATCTTTGGAGCGTGGAGCAGCGGTCTGCGGGCAAGTGGCCAGTTTCCGACGGGGCGCGCGGGTGGCGGGTCGCGGGTTGGGGGCGGGTGCGTTGTTTGAGGCTACCTCTTGCTTTTGTGGTTTTAAAGGGAAACCAAAGCAAGAGCCACAAAATTTGGGCTCTGAAAAAAGACACGTCCATGTCCAACCCCAGCCCGGACCTGGCCCTCTTGGGACGATAGCAACTCTGCCCTCCGCCCACTCAAAATGAAGGAAACAAAGCAAGCAAAAAAAGCACGCCCAGAAAGTTGAATTTCAAGTCAGTCGCGCTTTTGCGGATATAGGCTTGTTCCCAAGATCGTGACAGGGGTAGACATTCGTCCCCAAGGAAAACCAAAGAGCCTTTCGGGAATAGAATCATAAAGCCTCCCACTCGTTGTGGTTGTCTCAAAATAAGGAACCTCAAAATGCCTGGTTTCCTGGTCGTTTCCCTTCAAGCCCAAAAACCGAATAATGCCAACACCGTACGCCAAACAAAGTGGCTTTGGCTTAATCCTTTTCCTCGGATCAACTTGCAAGGTCCTTTTGACCATCCTAAAGGACCGGCCCCTCAGTTGGCCTTAGCTTGGCCTGGGGTACACAGAGCCAAGTTTTGGAGACTGCAGGCTCTTTTGGGAGGTTTGAAGGAAACAAGCCATGGGTCCGTGTTGTGGTGGCCCCGCCCTTTTTGTTAAGTGAACCCACATCTTGGGACCCGATCCAAATCCCAGATTCAGGGTCCCTAAGAAAGGGGTAGGTACAAGGGGGTGCCCGAGGGTTTTTTAGGAGGTATGAGTTTTGTTTTTGAGCAAGTCGCATCTCGGTCGCACCTTTTTCTCTCAACTCAAGATGGCTAGTAGCGGCCAGCGTTCTGCCCGCGTCGCCCAAGTATGGCACCTCACGAAAAGGACCGCCCTTCTTTGTATTCGGAAAACCCATCGAAGCAAGGAAACAATCGCCAAAAAAGGAGGCGCCAGGGAAAACCCAGTTGAAAAAAAAGCAAGGCAAAAAGAAGTGCCACTGCAGGATTCGGGCACGCAACTCTTCGAGTGTCCTGTGGAGTCCCGTGGTACTCGGAATTGGCACAAAACCCTAGCCATGCGGTGAAGCTTGTGGGCTCTCCCACGCTCAGGTGTAGCCATTGCGGTCATAGGCAGTGGTGGGTTGCGGACTCAGCAAATACGCCACTGCCCTTTGGGGTGACATCCGCTCGGTTGTCGTGACCTGCAGGATTGCTTGCCATTCCCGCACCACAGTTCCCAATTTTTGAAGGTCAAAAGGTTGACTCGCTTTGGACAACTGAGTCTGAAAACGCGAAACTTGGCTACCGTGGTAAAGGATCAACAAAAGAACCCGTTGCTTCAATTCCTTGGGTTGCTTCAACATCCCCACCACAAGCTGCCAAACAACAAAAACAAGGTTGCCCTTATGGCCACAAAAGGAAAATGCATGGAAAAGCATCCTTCATTGAGGGTACATCCCTTTGTTCAGCTTCTTACGTGCCTAAGAAACCAGCTCCAAGAAAATACGATTGAGAAATGCACCCCGGCAACCCCAGAAAGGACAGCTTTTTGCTCCCGCTGTGGGCTTCTAGGGCTTTCTTGTTTTGTTCTGTGCTTGTGTCACATTCTCCACTCATGTAGCAATCTCCAGTGCCATCGCTTTGCTGATTGTGGACTTTGCACTATTTGATCCCATAAGGACCAAGCACTGCCTTACATATCACTTGTGGTCAGTTCACTCTTTACATATTTTATAGTTGGAGTAGATCCACTTGGAGGACCTACGAGGTGTGTACTGCATTGCCGGCCCGATGCTTGGGCCCCCATTATTTACAACCTCAATTGAGGTAGCGGAGCAGGTTCTCCGAACGCAGGATGTTGAGTGAAGAGGATGTTTATGGAGCAGAACCACCCGCAGCGGCTTTCTTAGGAAGCTGTCATAACGGCGTGAGTTCCCATGAAGAGACCATCAATCTTTCCAGGAATGCAAAACTGCCTCCATCGGCTTCGGTGTGAAGACCTGGTGACATTGGAGGACATTTACGGTTATTGAACCCGCAAGACAAGGTCCGCTCCTCAAGAACGCCTGGAGGACGCAGCAGTATACCGCGAACTTTAAAATGATGAGAAACTCATAGACCCAGACAATGGCGCGGTCTATTTTCTCAATTTCCTTCGCGGATAGTTCTTGAAGGGCACGCAGAATGTCTTCCTTTATAGACTCCTCAGTCTCTTCAATCACCGCCAAGGTAAATTCTGAATTCGTGATCTTTATCATCAGATTCGAGATTCGCCTGCGAGCATCTTGGGAAGATACAGTGCCCGGATAAACAGAGACCAGTCCTGAGTTTATTCAGGCAATCAATGACGCAAACCAGCGATGGACAACCAGAGAATTGCTGAGATAGCAGGGATGATGCAGAGTGTGTCGCAAGGAGACGCAGCACCCATTGTGCCCGATCCAACTTACCAACACGCAGCACAACCAGAAAACTTCGAGAGGTTTGTGCGAAGGCAGAAACAAGAGCATGCACAGGCTTTTCCACTGTCCGACAACATGTTAACATTGTTCGTCATCATACAGGGTGAGCTGAACGATTGGCAATATTCATTGTTTTTCATTGTTTCGACCATCAAGTCCCAGTATTCTGACCTGTTTCATCGTTTCCAGAACCCCTCTTCAGGATCCAAACATCCGCCCGAGTGGCGGAGGCAGAACCAAGACCTTGTGTATCTCCTTGAGCAAGGAGAAAACGAAGGAGAAGCAGGATTCTGGGTAATAGATGAAGATGGTGCAGAGGGTTTTTGTCCATTAGACGATAAGGAAGCTTTTTGGCAGCTGGAGGACCATGATGCTTTTGTTCTCACAAGATTTCCACGTCGGACTCTGAAGTCCGGCAAGGGGTGAAAAGGTAAGAAAGGCAAGGGCAAGCGCCGAAGACGTGCTTTCAACCCTTCAGAAAACCACAATGCCAACATGGCCGACAGCCACCACCAATCAATCCATGCAACCTTGGTGCCAAAAAGGAAAGGGACAACCCTTCAACAAATCCAAGGAAGGACGACAAAGGAGAAGGAAAAACCAAGACCTCTGCCGTGGGACATAATGCTAAAGCACCGGAGGCCACACAGCCTCCTGTCAACATGTCGGCGGCAGACCCGTCTCAGGATGATTGGGACAAAAAGTGCCTGTGGTCCACAGATTCGAAGAATAGTTCATATTATTCGAGCCAGAACGGCCTGTATGTCCCGTGCATTACCAATTTCGCATTTGCCAATCGTCAGACCTCTCCGACTGTTTTTCAATACTTCACCACCTGTGCTGACTTTCATCGATATCCTAGAGCAAGGCAAGGGCAAGTTCCAATTTTGCTTCGCGTTGATCAGATGCGGAACCTTCACATCACGAGTGAGCACACTCCTCAATGTGACAAGATTACATGCGCGGCATTCGCAATGATTCGACAACCCATACCAGTATCCAGCGGCGGACATGCAAAATTTGATCTTGCGGCTTTCTGCAAACGACACAACGCCAGGACGGCAAACAAGGCCTTCGACGACGACATGATCAACCCCATTGCATATCCATCACCAAAGGAACCAATAGCTCCTGGATAACCAATCGCTGCACCAAGTAACTCCGTAGAGTTGATGTGTCTAAGAGGAGAGCACTGTTCGCACCTGACACAAGCAAACTTTCTTGCCCAATACCCCGCATACAAATCTACAACCAAAGAGTAACTAAAAGAGTCCAGGCAGAGACAAAAGAACCTTTATTTTCCATAAAAGGTGATTGGCGAATCAGGGCAACATTGCCGAGAACAACTCCAGAGTTGTGGACAGTAACCACGATGTTCAAGTTCTCCGACAAACCACTTACACCAAAAGCTCCTGCTGCACAACCACAAGAAGCATCACCAGATGCTCCCACAGAACCACCAGCTACACTTCCACTTGCGCTGAGGCGCACACAGAACCAGACTGCTCAAGGTCAACATCCCCAAGCTGAGGAATCATGAAACCAGGTCGCCACCCAAACCTGGATTTGACCTGCCATCATCCGAAGATGTTCTTATAAAACTCATGGAACAAGCCAAGTCAAAAAAGCCAGCCAAGCGAATAACCAAAAAGACAACACCGGACCCACCAAGTTCCGCAGAACCAGCAGCAACTTCTTTCTAAGCGGACAACAGCCCAGTTTGGGAATTGGAACTGCGTGACTAAAGGTAAGATCCATGTCTTGGAGGTAGTCGCTGGAAGCGCCCGGCTCAGTTAACGCTGCGCGTCAACAGGTTTGAAGGTCGGCATACCGATCGACATTTGAGTTGGTTTTGACATCATTGTCCGTGAGCAACAACCAGATGTTGAATGGCTTGCGCCAGTTGCACCCTGGTCCATTATGCAAAACATCAATGGTCCGAAGATAGTTGCAGAAAAGAGAGACAGGTGCTTGCCTATGATCGAAACCGTAGCTTCGATCGCAAGATACGCACAGAATCGAGGACTCTATTTCATCATTGAGAATCCTCAAGCATCTAAGATATGGACTCTTAAATCCATCACGGAATTGATGAAACATGCTCAGGTCACGTGGGAAGACCTTGATTTTTGTGCATTCGGTCTTCGTGGCCCTGACACCAAACTTAGAAGTTTGAAACCAACAAGCCTCACGCATAATCTTCCTACAGAAGTCATGAGACCAATATTTTCAAGGGTGCTCAAATTTACTTAGCAAGGCAAAGCCAGGGCAGTCGCACCATCCAGATATATCCGGTGGCATTCTGTCAAAAGATGGCACATATTCTTTTCAGGTCAAACCTTTGGATAATGAGGTCTTTCTATTCGAAGATACTTCTAGAACTGCTCACATGCGGCTCTGTGAGAACACGAGCACCTGCCACTGTGTCGGATTATAGTTGTTCCAGTCACATCTGTGGGCTGGTCGACGGTTTGTTGACTTGACACAAAACATGCAAGCGAATCCGGCGGTTCGTCAACGGCGAGTTGATGCCGATCGTGCGATTGCACATGACGCACTTGTTGTAAGGTGTGTGGGGTATACAGAGATACACCAGTTTTTGCGCCATCATGAACGGCAAGGACTCGTGAATCAAGATTCGAAATCAAGCTAAGGTCTTGTGCAATCTAGGTTGTAAGGTGCTTGCGCGAGCTTACGCGCGATACAGGTTCTCTTACGCGCTTACATTTATATGAGCTTCCCTTGCGCAAACCTTGCGCGCGGCTCACGCGTAAACAATTCCTTACGAAACTGGATGGCTTCCTTACGCTCGCCAGCGCACACCGCACACCCGCACCCGTCCACCCCCCGGCTCCTTTCAGCAGCTGGGCGGGTTCGAGGCCGAGATCTTTACAGCGTGCGCCAGCCAATTGTGCCACACGGCTGCGCCGCGGGGAGCCGAACCCAATAGCCAGAAAAACAGCGGCCTTCCAAAAACCAAAAACTTTTTAGCGGCGCGCGCGCTAATTCGTTTTTGCGTTTTCCACTCCCCAGCAATGTTTTGCCAACTAACTAGCCTCAAAGACAGAGGCATTAGTGACATGCACTAACTCCGCGTTTTGGTGTTTGAGCCCCTACCAAGACATTCCAGCGGCGCGCATTAGCTCGTTCTTGCGGTTTCCACTCCACAGCAATGTTTTGCCAACTAACTAGCCTCAAAGATAGAGGCATTAGTGACATGCACTAACTCCGTTTTTGGGTGTTTGAGCCCCTACTAAGAGATCCCAAGTGCCCAAAACCAACAAAACCAAAACGAATTAGCGGCGCACACTAATTCGTTTTTGCGGCTTCCACTCCCCAGTTGCTAGCTGCCAAAGGCACCAAAACAATCCAAACCGCTTACGCGACAAACTTTCCTCGAAAAAAAGCTTATGTGGCCTTACGCTGCCACGTGTTTTCCTTACGCAGGGGGCCCTTGCGACCACCCCCCTTCAGAGAAGCAGAAACGATTCGGTCTATGCCGGTCAACCAGCAAGGAGATCACAATGGTGATGAGGGATTTGATCCACCAGGACCACCGGATCAGCCTGATCAAGACATGCCGCAAGCACCAGCCAAAAGACCAGCCCTCCACAGGCAGCCTGACACCCAGATGCACCAGTTCTAACACGGCGACAACCACAACCTCAGCGAGCTGGGGGGTGATGTTTCAAAGCCTTCTAGTCTAGTCGGCCGACAGTTGTCGTGCCTCCACCGAAAAA